CATCCCTACACAACCTTTTCCCTTCCTGGTGTCAACCAAAACCCTGAGGAGTGAATCCAAAACTTGAATCCTCATCCCTACACAACCTTTTCCCTTCCTGGTGTCAACCAAAACCCTGAGGAGTGAATCCAAAACTTGAATCCTCATCCCTACAGACCCTTTTTTCTTCCTGGTATCAACCAAAACCCTGAGGAGTGAATCCAAAACTTGAATCCTTATCCCACAGACCCTTTTTCCTTCCTGGTATCAACCAAAACTCCAAGGAATGAACTCAAAACTTGAATCCTTGTCCCACGGACCCTTTTCCCTTCCTGGTGTCAACCAAAACTCCAAGGAGTGAACCCAAAACTTGAATCCTTATCCCACAGACCCTTTTCCCTTCCTGGTGTCAACCAAGACTCCAAGGAGTGAACCCAGAACTTTAATCCTCATCCCCACACAACCTTTTCCCTTCCTGGTGTCAAACAAAACTCCAAGGAGTGAACCTAGAACTTGAATTCTCATCCCTACAGACCCTTTTTCCTTCCTGGTATCAACCAAAACTTCAAGGAGTGAACCCAAAACTTGAATCCTCATCCCACCCAGCCACCTCCACGAACTGGGAATGGGAAGAGCAGAGCAAGGACACTCCTTGAGCCCTCAAAGAGCATTCCAGGTTTTCCTGGAGGCCACCTGGATGCTGAGGGTGAGGATCCCACCAGTGCAGCTCCTCAGCATCGCACCAGGAGGCTTCAGTTATCTGTGCCAAACCCCCCCTAAATATTTATTACACTTATTATAATAATAAATATTATCTCATGCTTAGGATGTTGCAACATGACACTGAAATTTGGGTTGTACAAGGAATAATTGCTCCCAAAATCAGAGCTGGTGCAATATTTCTTTAAACTACTTGCTTGAATGCAACTTGTCATTAAAGGTGACTTCTCTCCCAAATTTTTCCCCATGTTTGGGCAAGGCAGTATTTTATTAGATATTATATAATATATATTATATATAATATAAATATTACTTTTTAGTTCATTTTTCTGTCTTCTTCTCCCACCTCAGTTTTCTATATTAAAAAATTCTGTATGAAATTCTACGTAAAAAAAATTCCAGAACGGGAGAAATAAAAAGAAGAGAAAAATTTAAAGAAGAGAAAAATTTAAAGAAGAGAAAAATTTAAAGAAGAGAAAAATAAAAAGAAGAGAAAAATAAAATAATTGTCCAGCAACCACTTTAAAAAGCTGTGAACAACCAAATGATAAAAAAAAATCCAAAGTGAATAAGAAATAAGCTTCTTAAACACACGCAGAATTTGCTGCTACTTGAGAATTTTCCCCCAAGAAAGCCACTTAAATTCCACTTTTCTCTCCAAACTTTCGAATCCAAACATGGATAAAAAAAAAAAAACAAATTGCAACGTGAGTCTCTTCCTGATTCCCCCCCCTTCTGCCCCGGCCTTCTGGGAGCAGGAGCCTCTCAGAGCCCCACAGAAGCAGGTGGAGGAGTATTTTAAGTAACAGAAAATCGGTTTAATTAAGCTCTCCTCAGACTCACAAACGGGGAGAGTTGCTTTTCACCCCCCTAAAAGACAAAGGAGCTGCTCAGGGGTCACTCCTGCCACATTTTCCCTCCTCCCTGGGAAGGACACGGGGCTTGGGAAGCCACTTCTGCTCCCGGAGAAGGTTTTGGGGGGGAAGGGATTTTTGAGCTTGGAAAATCCCCAGGCCCCTCATCAGAGGCAGGATCGTGCTGTGCTCTGCATCCTGCAAACTCTGGGGGGAACCCAGTCCCCCCTGCCACCACCCTGAGCCTCGTTAGTGCTGCAGTGGAAAGAACACCATTAATCCTCTAAAAAAACAACCACCCAGGGTCCGTTTTCTCTTCAGGAGCCGCGGAAATATTTTGTGTTTTCTGTTCTAACTCATCCTTACGTGGCAAGTTGAGGTGCACGAGGCAAAGACTTGGCTTTTCCAACCCCACGAGGCAAAGACTTGGCTTTTCCAACCCCACGAGGCAAAGACTTGGCTTTTCTAACCCCCAAAATTCGGG